AAGACTGGTATTTGATACAGCCTTGATCAACCTCCTCATTTTACAGGTATGGAGGACAGAATCAGAGTCAGTAGGTAAAAAAATCATAGGTACACAGACTCATTAGCTCAATATAGTTTATTAATTGCAAGTACTCTGCAGAAGTATGCAAAATCTGTATAGCTTCTTGTCAGGAATGCTGTGTTACCTGATGGCTGAACTTTCTAGTTCTCTGGATTATTCAAGATTAAGCACTGCATTTCACTGTCAGGTGGTTGCTTTATTAAATGTTATTAACTAAAATTATTGGTAATAATTTAAAAATCTAAGCTGTTTCTATCACAACATAGAAAAATGTAGAAGTAATGCAATATTTAGTTTTAAGACTTTTATGCCACATTTTGGGATTATAGATAATTTACCCCTAGCTGTAAGATAAAGTAAATTATTTGGAATTTTTATGAAGAATTTAAAAAATTTGTGTTACTTGGAACCATGATAATAACTTGGGTGACTATCACTAAAAATGAAAAAAATTAAATGGAAACATTAGGAGGACTAATGTATGGCTGGACTGTCTGGATGATCCAGAAGCAGAATGAATCTGGAAGAACATAATTTAAACTATTTTTCTGTGTCATAGGCTTTAACCAACTCTTTTAAGTGGTAAGTCAAGGCATTCCTACTTGTGAGCATATGAATGAATCAGAAAACAGATTAAAGAATCTATGTCATGAATCTTCTGAAAGTAATGAGACCAGAAAAATCAAGCAGCGGTTCACTTTCATGCTTTCTTTTTTTTAAGTCAGACTCTCTGTCACCCAGGCCTCAATCTGCTCAATCTAACAGTGGCCTCAATCTGCTGGCTCATGCGATGCTTCTGCCTCAGCCTTCTAAGTAACTGGAACTACAGGCACACACTACCACGCCCAGCTAACTTTTGATTTATTGTAGAGATGAGATCTTACCAAGCTGCCCAGGCTGGTCTCGAACCACTTTCATGCTTTTAAAGAAGTTTAGCTATAGCAGAATATTTTTGTTCAAAAATAGTATGAGTAGCTATAGACAATATAAAGGCCTTTTGATTCAAATACTAGGTATAACCTAGACTCATCTATAAATATTTTATATACATTTAAAAGTTCAAAAAATAAAACATCTTGCCTTTAGAATGTAAACACTTAGATTTTATAATTTCAATATATCACTACAAGTAAGTAACAATTTGTAGATATATTGTATGTATAGATGTATGTGTAGTAGGTCTCAACTCTGGCATCTATTAATCTTTTTATTTCAGTAAAAAAAGTAGCAGAGGACTTTTTCAGGTTAATTTGATAAATTTTAATATCAGATATTCTCAATCTTAATTAGCATCAAACAATTTAAAGTTTAGGGCTTGGTGTGGTGGCTCATGCCTGTAATCCCAACACTTTGGAAGGCTGATGTGGGAGGATTGCTTGAGCCCAAAGAGCTCGAAACCATCCTGGGCAACACAGCGGGACAACAACAACAAAAAGTTTGGTGTGGTGGTACATGCTTATAGTCCTAGCTATGTGGGAGGCTGAGATGGAAGGATGGTCTGAGCCTAAGGGGCGGAAGCTGTGATGAGCCGTGATCGTGCCACTGCACTCTAGCCTGACAGAGTAAGACTTCAACTCAAAAAAAAAAAAAATAATAATAATAATAATGGTGAAGTTATAAAGGAACTCTTAGGATATGTGTAATCTTTTAAGTAGCACTAGCAGGTTTTGTGTACTGCATTACTACTTTTAAATGGCCTCAAGTGTAGGCAGGGCAGAAGGAAAAGGCATATATATTTTTCATCTTTTTGAAATGTAATTCTTTTTAAGCTTTCTGGGCACGTGCATCTCAATCTGAATCACCCTTTCATGAGACTTATGTGATTAATGTTGGAGAAGCTATTGGCTACTTTTGGAAAATGCTACTGTATTTTGCCCCCCCCTTTTTTTTTTTGAGTTCGAGTCTCACTCTGTCACTCAGACTGGAGTGCAGTGGCCGCTTCTGGCCACTGCAGCCTCGACCTGCTGTTGCCCCATTCTTAATTAGAATTCACCTGATCACCCAAAACTTTGGCGCAGGTCACAAGGCTTTTGGGGTTCCACTGGGAAGTTGGCAAGATTTGAGTTCACATCTTTCTAGCCTTTGTCCAAACCAGTTCTTAGTCTCTCTATTAATTCACTGAAAAATTATTGCTGGCATGGGGTGTAAGATGAAAACATTTATGGTTTTGGGTATCCAGAACATTAATATAATAATTAACTGTAAGAAAATGTATTGGTGGTTCTAGAAAACTTGGCGGCTAGGTAGCAAAACCAAATACCATGGACAGCATTAGCAGTAAAATGAATTGTTAAGCTGTTTCCACAAACTCAAATATCAGCAGTTGGAGACAAATCAGCAAATTGCGGGACATAGGTTTCAGACTTAAGGGACGAATTGGGGCAGTGTTTGGCAAACGAGAACAGGAAATTAGTCAACAGCCATTCACTGAGAAGCGGCTGAAACTTACTCATTCCATGTAGGGTTTCTGGTCCATTTGCCCTCTACTTTTACATTGTCCATCACTCTTCTGCCCCTATTTTCAGCCGTATCCAGCACAGACTACTGGGCATATCATTATAGTCGCCATCGGCGTTTTGCTAGTTGCTTAGTCCCAAATCACTCCTGATCATGTTTTCTCTCACCCCACAGCCAGTTATTTTATTCAACAAAGAGATCGAATGCCCATTATGTACCAGACACTCTTCTAAAGCACTGGGGGTACAACATGGATCCCCCCCCAAACAGTTCTTGTTCTCCTGGAGTTTACAATTTAGTTTGGTGGCAGGGGAGCATAAATAAATATATGTGGTGATAAGTGGAATGCAGAATGTAAGCTCCAGGAGGGCAAGGACTTACCCAGCTCATTGCTGCATTTTCCGAGCTTAGATGGTGCCTGGCACGTAACAGATATCCAGTATTAGTTGAATGAATAGATTATGTCGACCACAGAGAAATTAGTCGCAAACCTCCCCCCATTTTTTATTACTTTCACTAGCAGGCACGATTACTTTAAATTGTCCCGTCCCGTCAACGCACCTCTTCCTGAAACACGCGAAGAGGAAGCTATTTCATATGAAGCCAGTGACCAAAGATCAGAATTGAACATTAGAATACTACCTGTCATGACTTAGTTATCACTTTCCTATTCTCGACTAAGCCAGGAGAGTGTCCGGCCTGGATGTGTGAGACCTTCGTGAACGAACGAATGATTCCTAACTACCGCAGAGGTGCAAACCCTTCGAGGGTAGCGAGTGCTAAGCTGCTTCTGCTCCCATAGGCATTTGGTAGGTGTTCGCCTACTGAACGAACGGAATAACCCCAAGATAAATGGCGACTCTCTGCTTCAGGCGAAACTGTTGAGGGCAGGCCTGCTCCCGGGCCGGCTGCCGCGAATGACACTCTCCCTGCGAAGAACCGTGTCGCTGATGAACTCCGGACCGGGACCGCCCTGTGCGTGCGTCACCACCCTAGCGCGGCCTGCCCCGCCCCCTTGCGCGGCTTCCCCGCCCACCAGTTGTCTCTTGGCTTCTATTGGCCGCCTCGCGGAAGACCCGCCCTCTCGGGGAGAAACTATCTTCGTACACCGGTCGGAACTGCCGCGACTTAGCGTGACGTCATAAAGCGACCAATCAGAAGCACTGGCCTTCAGCCTTGTCCAATGGGATAGGGCATGGGTCAGTGCGCGGAGTTTGATTTTCGTCGAGGGACACGGAAGTAGCCGTCCTTTCCTACAGGTAGGTGGTTGGGAGCCGAAGGAGGCGGTTGCACGTCTCGCGGGGTTATCCTAAACTGAGGCTTGACCTCACACCCCTCGGTGAGGTCGTCATTACCACCTGTGGAACGCAAGTCGGGGAGCGCGGCGGGCAGGGATCGGCGTCCGAGCGCTTCCGGACCTGGACCAGCGCGCTCCGGGATTCTTCGATTGGGGATTTCCGGACCGGGATTCCTAACGCTCTCCGCTTGAGGTTCCGGTGGTCGTCAGGAGGCTCGGCTTCCGAGGAAGGTGAGGAAGGCTCCCTTGCCGGGTTTGGAGAGCCCCCGAGAAAGCTGTGACCAGAGCGAGTGACACGATCCGGCTCCAGTCTCGACCTGCCTGTTAAGGAGTTCCGTTTCCGATCTGGACACTCAAGCTCCTTGAAAACCTGAGTCTTTAAAATGAGCGAGGAAGGATGGTGGCACTCCGAACACAAACTCCGTTTGTGAGCAGAGCTACTGTTCATTTTGTTAAAGCTTTGAGTAGGGCCCCGGCCTGCTTTCAAGAGTTGCCTGAATTCACCCGTCTCTCTCTCTCTCTCTTTTCTGAGTTGGAGGCTCACTCTGTCACCCAGGCTGGAGGGCAGTGCACGCTCACCGCCACCGCAGCCTTGACCTCCTGGGCTCAGGCGATCCTTCCGCCTCAGCCTTCCAAATAGCTGGAACTACAGGCACGTGCCACCATGCCCTGGCTAACTTTTTGATTTATTGAAGAGATAAGGTCTCGCCAAGTTGCCCAGGCTGGTTTTGAACCTGCGGGCTTTGGCAAATCTTCTCACCTCGGCCTCCCAAAGTGCTGGGATTATAGGCATGGGCCATCGCACCTGGCTCACCCGTCTCTTGAGTCTCAGCCCAAAGCTTTCAGAAAAGAGCCTGCTTTGCTTCGCAAGTAATTTGAAGTCTTTCCTGCCAAGTGTCCAATCTGTTATTGATTGATATCTGTTAACTAGGCCCATTCATAAGCTCAACCATCCTATGAGGTATTCATGTAATTTAACCAATAAGTTGAAGTTTTCTTCACAACCTTCCCCTTCTCTCCCAGAATCCCCCTTCCTTTCTTTCTCTTGGACTTCCTTCAAAATAATACTGAATAAGAGAAATTAGCTGATGGTGTAATGTATAACGACTGTTCCAGGTTATTTAATAAAATTTGTGTAGCAATCATTTGTCAAAAGTAATGTTTTCTAAAATTTTTCCCAAAGGTACTAAGAAACTGAAAATGTTTCCTTGAAGTTGCTTCTGTATTTGCTTTATCAATGTCTCTCATATTGAATATCTTAAGAGAGATGCTGGAATATTTTGGTGTTCCCATAGACCAGGTAAATGTCTTTTAATGAATTTCAGTGCATCTGTTGTATTTGTTCTTTGACCTCATTTTGAAAATAATTTATATGTACACATTTAATTTAAACAGAATTGTTGCTTCTCTTTAGGTGGAACAAAGGTGAGTTTGCAGTAGTATAGGTTTGATGGTTGGAGTTAACAAAGGGATAGGATTATTGAGAACTTATTTACCTTATAGGTCAAAAGGCAAAAGAAAATACAAAGGAAGGAAAAAAAGACATGACTTTCAGAGTTAACATCTAGTGCATAGATAAATTAGGCAATTTAAGGTAATTTAGAAACATGTTTGAGCTGGGCTCGGTAGCTCAGCCTGTAATCCCAGGCTTTGGGAGGCTGAGGTGAATGGATTGCCTGAGCCCCTGGGTTCGAGACCCGCCTGGGCAACTTGGCGAGACCTCATCACTACAATAAATCAAAAAAATTAGCCAGGCATGGTAGCACGTGTCTGTAGTTCCAGCCACTTGGAAGGCTGAGTCAGAAGGATCGCCAGAGCCCGGCAGGTTGAGACTGCAGTGGCCGGGAGCGACCACTGCACTCCAGTCTGGGTGACAGAGTGAGACTCCAACTCAAAAAAATAAAATAAAATAAACAAAATAAAAGCCCTTCCATAGGGCTTCTGAGGTGCTGGGCACTGTCCCAAGCACTTTACAAAGATTAACTCATTTAATCCTCCCCACAACCCTGTGAAGCAGGTACTGCGATTATCATTCCCATTTTACAGATGAAGAAACTGAGGAGGTTAAGTAACTTGTGCAAGGACAGGCAGTTAGGGAAGGGCAGCCCAGGGTCCAGAGCCTGGACAGTCTAGCTCCAGATCCAAGCTCCAGGCTGCTATCCTAATTCCTCCTGACAGAAGATGACCTGGTGGCAAGAACACTCTTAAAGTTCAACTTTTGTTTCCTTATTTATGTATTACTTTATTTTTACAGATAAGGTCTGGCTCTGTTGCCCAGGCTGCAGTGCAGTGGTGCAATCATAGCTCGTTAAAATCTCGACCTCCTGGACTCAAGCGATCCTCCTGCCTCAGCCTCTCAAGTAGCTAGGACTACAGGTGCACCACTATGCCTGGCTAATTTTTTTTTTCTTTTTGTAGGAGATGGTGGTGGGCCTCGCTATATTGCCCAGGTTGGTCTCGAACTCCTGGCCTCAAGCCATCCTCCAGTTTCGGCCTCACAAAGCACTGGGATTACAGGTGTGAGCCAGCGTGCACGGGCTGTTGCCTCCTACTTTATACCAGGAACCTCCCAAGTGCTTGCCCTGAAGCTCCCATGGTGGACAGGTATAAAGAGAACAGGGACCAGGGGTGTTGCTGAAAAGTGGATATTTGCAGATCAGTGCTGATCCCCCCAGCCAAAGTCCTGATCTGGCTGCAAGGCAGGGAGGGGTGTCTTCCTTAATCTGGTACCTACTATGAGCAGGGCACACTGTGTACCTATTACCTCATTCATCCCAGCAAGGCAGGTCTTACACTTCTCATTGACAGATGAGGAAACTGAGGCTCAGGAAGTCGAAGAGACTTGCCCATAACCATCCAGCCTCTATTGCATCAGATGAGGATTGGTATCCAGATCTGTCTGTCTCTGACTGTCATAAGCACAAGACATGGTTCCTGTGCTCAAGGGACCAGTCAGAGAGCCTTGCATCATGGGTCAAGGTGACGGTTTCTTGAAGGGCTAGAAGGGTATGCTCAGGTGGAATGGATGTAAGGGCTCAGCCTAGGTAAGCACAGGTTTGCATGTGGGCATGAGCTTTGGCCAATGTCCTAGTTGGAGCAGGTGTGTGTCAAGGCTCATCAGGTTATCATGTCAGATGATGAAATGGGGCCTTGAATGCCAAGCAGATGGTTTGGCATTGATGGGCAAGACCACAGGGAGCCATTGCTGTCTTAGGAGCCTCTTTCCCTCCCTCCTGAGGCGGCCTCCCTCTTGCACAGTGGAGCAATTTCCTAAAGCATTTTCTCTAATTTGTGATTGTTTTTCTAACCAGAAGCAGCGAGAGTCCCCAGCTTCCTCAGCCCACAAGCCGAGCTGAGCTGAGCTGCCAACGCTGCTGGGCTCTGCCTCCAATCTGGTAGCTTGGGGACCTACAAGTCCCTCTGTCCCAAAAGCCCTCCAAAGTACTGGGCAGACCATGGGGAGGGTCTTATGGGCTCAAATCCAGGGGCTTCTTTCCCAGCCTGAAGTCAACAGAGCCAATGTAGACTCAGGAATTGCTTTAAGCTGAAGCCACCACCTGCTGGCCAATTGTACCCAAATGACGTGAGGGCTGGTACCCTGAGATGAAGGGTTTGGCGGGGGGAAGCCCGAGCCTCTGCAAGGACTCCCGGGGCTCCAGGAGGGGCAAGGACTGAGTGAGAAGGCCAAGGCTGTGTGAGAAAACGGGGGCTCGGAGAGAATTTGAGGGTTCAGTGCAGGGACAGAAATCCTGTGAGAGACTGGGGCTCTGGAAGGGAAGGGCATGCCAGAAAGTGGCTAGGGGCTCAGTGAGGGGTCTGGGGCTCTGGTGGGGGGTGCTCAGTGACTGTCTGGGGAATGGAGGCTGTGTGCTATGGGAGGACAGGGCCTCCACAAGGAGATGGGGGCTTAGAGAAGAGATGGCACTCTGGGACTGGTGGGGATTCTGGCTAGAGGCTCAGCTGGGGCCTGGGATTTGTGAGAGACTGGGCCAGGGCATCCTTCATTGCTTTGGAGACATAAAGTCTCTGCTCAAATTTCAGGTAAAATAATTCCAGTCCCTTCCATTGGCTTTTCTAATCACTGTCTTTATGATCAGGCATCTCCAAATGTGTCGAGATTTTACTGGAACTTGGCACACAGTAGGCTCACAAAAAAAATGTATCTTGGATGGATGGAGAATTTAGTAGACTCGTGTATGAATGAAAATGGACAGATGGGTAGTGAGGAGATGGAGAGAAAGGCGGTGATACATGTGTGGGTAGATGATGGATGGATGGGTGGAGGTGGGTGGACTGTGGGCAGATGTGTTTAAATGGAGGTGGGTGGGCAGTATGATGGATTGGATAAATGGATGGATGGATGGATGGGTGGA